CTGTTTTTAGTAGAGACAGGGTCTCGCTCTTGCTTAGGCGGGTCTCGAACTCCTGACCTTGAGCGATCCACCCGCCTCGGCCTCCCAGAGAGCTAGGGTTACAGGCGTGAGCCATCGTGCCCGGCCTGGATTTTGCCATAATTTTAAACAAGCAATGTCTTGGTGAAATAGCCCTTCACTGGAATCTTTAACAATGATCTTGGGAGGTAACGTGTCAATAAACACATGTCTGCCATAGACACAGCAAAGTCTCTGAGCCATTGGTGTTTTTCAGTTTCAGGGGATGGCAAATTGTGACCTTCAGGCCAAACCTCTTGCACGACCTGTTTTTATGTGGCTCCCTAGCTAAGCATGGTTTGCACGTTTTTAAAGAGGTATTAAAAAAAAAATAGGTGATAGAAACCGTATGTGGCCACCAAGTTTAAACACTGATTACCTTTCCTTCTATAGAAGAAGTTTTCCAAGTACAGTCTAGGATGACCCAGAATCATGACACATACACTAATGAGTATTGGTTCAAAGTAAACACAAAAGTACATTTCCTCCTAATCCTACTCCTTCAAAGAGGGCGACAAGATAAAAAAAAGTTCCTATTTTCAAGCAAAGTTCCACTTCGGTATAACAGTTCAGCTAGATTCTAGAGAGGAGTGACTACTGAGCTTATGGAAACTGTTCTCTATTATCCGTGGGGCCAGGAAAAAAAAAGGTCATTATGTCTCACAGTACCATAAAACTACACGATTATGACCGGAGATGTAAATTTCTGTACTTTACACGCTAAGATAACAGGGAGAAAATGAAAAGCTGAGTGTGAATAAATGACCTGACATACGCTTTTCAAAAGACGTACAGGACTTCGAAGAGTTATGTTGAACTAGATATTGACACATCATCTTTAGATGAACAGAACAAACACGTCCTTTGGAAGTTGCTTTCCGTACCTGCAACCGACCCCTCCCCAGCCGATCAGCGCCGTGCGGCCACCTGCGCTCGCTCACCCTGAAACCCGGCAGTGTCGTCCCTCGCTCCCTCGTCGCCCCCGCTGCTGGGCCTGCCGGACCCCTTCTCTTGCTCTGCGGCTCCAGTGACTTTCCCAGAGAGATTTACAAGCTCTCTGTCATCACTCTTGTCGCAACCTTCAGGGTCATTTTTAGATTCAGTGTCTAAAGTTCCTAAGGTAAAATGCAAAAACATCATCTTTTTCTTAGTAAAATCTGTTAAGTTATAAATCACTGTTTCATTGCAGGTCAGATAAATGTAAGAGGCAAGTTTACTGCAAAGGGAAAAGAAAAACAATAATTTAAAATTATTTTTAAAATGGCCATATCACAATATCATAAATAACATGCTTTGGAGCTATTTTAAACTCTCACTTCTAAAAAACGTTCTTTTAATATACCTCTAAAACCTTAAGTGTCTCATTTGCTTCTTTGCAAAGGAGAAAAGTGAAATAAAGCGCTTCTGTGATTTGTGGGCATGTGGCATTTTTTAAGTTCTTGAAAGCAGAGCAGTTATTTTTTTCCTAATGCGGATTAACAAAGCAAGTGGCAAAGATATGCTCTCGATTGACATGACGTGGTGTGGGAGGGACCCGTTGCACTGTTGCGATCACGTTCTTTCAGCTCTGTCTAGCCGACGGGTACTAAGAGAGCACGGAGACCTGCTTCGAATTCCGGTTCTGTCACTAACTGCCATGTGCCTTCACTGAGTGAATGGACTGTTCCGAATCTCAATGCCTTCTGTTTACAAAATAGAGATACTAATATTTTCCTTATAGAACAGTCATGAAGATTACAGTTAAAACATGTCAAAGCACCTGGCATAAAACAGGCATTCGGTAAACGGGGAGACTTTGTAGCATTGTTTCTTTAACGGAATCACTAGAAGGGACATGCCATGCAAACTGTAAACACACGGTGTAACATCGGCTACTCAGGGGACGCATTTGATAGGAGAAGACCAACCTTATAAAACTCAAAATGATTTCAGAAGTGTAGTACTTAAAGAAAAAAGACAGACAATGGATAAGTCTGGTGATGTTTTACTGTTTGAATAGTCAGGTCTCTATGTCTCTTTTTAATGCTCTTTTCTTTCCCCTGTTCAATGCCACTTACAAAGTAAATATATGACTATAAACAAGTGTCAGAAATACAGATTATACCATCCACAGGAAATAATATCTTTTTGGAAAAGTATCTTCTTAGTTTATTTGCATTTACCAATTTTTTCAAGATGAAAACGTTGTTGTGATAAGTAATGAGTAAAAAACCCTTTTTGGCATTAGTTTTTTTCCTTACCCTAGTATTAAGAAAAGCATTACTTACCATGCTTCATCCCAGCATTAGATTTAGTGGCTCCGGGATGGAAGGTAATCCCACCGTAGGTGGGAAATCCATAGTTTGGGAAGCTATATCCTGAAACAGCAAGTACAGCAGAGGAAACATCAGGAAGATGTTTCACAAAGACTCGGCGAGCCTTAGTGCACATCCCTCGGGTGAGCACGGGCGTTGGTGGGCGAGGACCGTGCTGAGCCCATTCACAGCACGTCCCTGGGAGTCAGCAAGACACATCTGGGGGCCACGGGACAGTCATAAGTCCACTGGGCAAAGTTTACGTTTTGGCAACTCAGACGGTGTCGCAGACTTGGAGAGCAGTCGTGATGAGACAGTCGCCACCCCACGTGAAGGGAAGGGGCTGACCGTGAGCGGCCACCACTCAAACCCAGACTCGCTCACGTGGAAGGCACTGACATCATCTCTGGAGGGAAAACCTGAACTAAACGAATCACAGGAAAACACACTGGCTCCTCAGTGGAAAATGGCCCCATTTTTCATTCTTACGCATTTTTGGTGGAAGCACAGACTGGCTAAAACTCTCTGGGGATGCGGCTGGCATTGTAAGTCCTATCCTCTGACACAGTCATTTTACTTCAAAGAATCTAATTTATAAACATAATCTAGAACAAAAGAAACGTGATATGGATAGGAGTTCGGTACAGCATTTTACACAGAAAACAGGAAACGACATTCAAGTAAGCTACATTATGGTCTGTTCACCTGATGAAATATTATGAGTCATTACAATGATGCTTACACGGAGTTCACGTTGCCATGGAGAAATGCTCATATTAACACGGGAGGTGAGAGCAGCACACGTGACTCGGCATGGACAGCCACGGTACAGCGATAACAGAAAACTAACGCAGATCAATGGATTAAAACAATATGTGTGATGATGATCACAGACATATTCAGAGGAAATTCATAAATATCTACTATAATGAATACATGAAAAAAATTAGAAATGGTTAAACTCTGATGGCAGAATTTTATGTATTTTCAAATTTTCTACAATGTAGTAGATAGAGTGGTATAATATATATCTACAATGTAGTTTATATAATATAAAATCTTTCCAATGTTTCCAAAGAACAAGACAACTACGTCAAAAAAAAAAAAAAAAAGTAAAGGGGGAATACACCAAAATTTTTAGGGAGGTATTCTTTGGATAAGCGGCCTGGGGTGACTTTTTTTCTTCTTACAGTTTTCAGGATTATCTACATACTGTAAAATGAACAGGCATTTCTTCAAAAACTAAATTTAAATTTGTCAAGAAATTTTAATTAATATACTAAAAAACGTCATGGCCACTCAACCCACAGGCATGCTCAGAAACCTAGGAAAAAGAAAATGCTACTGTTTCCGATGGGGACAAGCTTTAGAAAGAATCGATGTTTCTGTACCTGGACCTGTGCTTCCAGCACCCCCTCCTCCACCGCCGCTACCAAACATGCCTCCGCCTCCAGCCCCGGCACCACTGCCGCCACCGAAACTATCCGAGAAATTGGGCATGAGCTTCTGCCGTTTCCTTTGTACTTCCTCTTTATCTGTATTTAAAGGAAGAGAAACCAGAGGAGAAAAGATTGATTCGGTTCCACCGCTAGCCACACATAGAACTATTGATTCTGATGGTATTTTTAAACATCTTAAAGGGAAACAGAAAGCACTCAAGGAGGAAGAGATGCCAAATTTCAAGAAGCATTATATTTATTCCAAGGGGTATGAAGACCAAAAACTAGCCTCAGAGAGACCACAGAGCAGTACACACCCAAATCTACTCTGCCACGGTTTCTCAAGTCCCAAATGTTGTTAAAATTAGTGAGAGATTAGATTGCCCATCAAAAATTAAGACACTGAAGATACAGAATAAAAAAAAAATTATTGAACCCTTTTCCTTGGCCACACAAAACAACTACATGTTACTAATCGGCTGACACTGTTACGCATTCACACTGAGCTGAACGCTGGAAATAAGGAGAAGCGTGACATAATGTCCTTGCTGTCAAGGTCAAGGGCCCTTCGACATCAGCTAAGGCAGCGGGGCAGACTCGGCAGGACAGCGCTGTGACACCGTGTACGTCACATTCACCGCGGTGGACACCGGTGTTCCAGGAGTTCGGGGAAGGACTTCTACGAGGTCCCTGAGGGCTGGGAAATTCAGAAAAGGCTTCTCAGCTTCACTTTCCTATAAGAAGAGGGACAAGGAGGATGTTCTGGAAAGGAGATGTGGCGGGACATGACGACAAAGGGAAGAGGCGCACGGAGTGCTGGTGAGGACCGCAGCAGGTCGGCCGGGCTGGAGAGAGAGTCCCGCACAGGCACATCTCAGAGACGCCGCAGTCCGGTTCTAGAACGTTGCAATAAGGCAAGTCGCATGAAGTTTTTTGGTTTCCCAGTATATCTACAAGTTATGTTTGTGATTATACTGTAGTCTATTAAGTGTGCAATAGCATTATGTCTAAAAATCAAGGTACATCTTAATTTAAAAATACTGTATTGCTAAAAAATCGCAACGATCATCTTCGGCAAGTCATAATTTTTTTGCTGGTGGAGGGTCTTGCCTTGATATTCATGGCTGATTGGGACAGTTGTAGTAATTTGTTAAAATAAGACAACAATGAAGTTTGCTGCGCCAATGAACTCTTCCTTTCATGAGAGATTTCTCTGTAGCGGGCAATGCTGTTTGATAGCATTTAACCCACAGTAGAACTTCTTTCAAAACTGGAGTCGATCCTCTCAGATCCTGCTGCTTTGTCAACTAAGTTCACGTAATATTCTAAATCCTTTGTCGTCACTTCCACAATGTTCGCAGCATCTTCACCAGGAGCAGATTCCATCTCAAGAAGCCACTGTCTTTGCTCATCCATAAGAAGCGACTCCTCTGTAGCCCATGGGCCAAGGAGTAATTTGTACTCGAAAGTTGTATTATTTATCATACGTATCGTCATTAAAGTTTGATCGTGAGATCGCAGCAATTCGGTCCCATCTTCGGGCTCCACTCCTCATTCTCATTCTCTGTCTGTTTCCACCACAGCTGCCGTTACAGCCTCCACTGAAGTCTTGAACTCCTTAAAGCCAAACACGAGAGTTGGAATCAACTTCTTCCAAACTCCTGTTAATGCGGATATTTTGACCTCCTCCCATGAATCATGAAAGTTCTTAACGACATCTAGAATGGTGAATCCTTTTCAGAAGGTTTTCAACTTACTTTGCCAAGATCCACCAGAGGAATCACTATCACTAGCAGCAATAGCCCTGTGAGATGTACTTCTTAAATAATACGACTTTTGAGTACAAATTACTCCTTGGCCCATGGGCTACAGAAAGGATGTTGTGTTAGCAGCATGAAAACAACATTAATCTCCTTGTACATTTCTATCCGAGCTCTTGGGTGACCAAGTGCATTGTCAGTGAGCAGTAATATTTGGAAAGGAATCCTTTTTTCTGAGTAGTAGGTCTCAACAGTGGGTTTAAAATATTCATTAAATTGTGTTATCAACAGATGTGCTGTCATCTAGGTTTTGTTGTTCCATTTACAGACCACAGGCAGGGTAGATTAGGCATATTCTTAAGGGCCCTAGGATCTTTGGAAGGGTAAATGATCATCACCTTCAACTTAAGTCACCCTCTGCATTAGCCTCTAACAACATAGTCAGCCTGTATTTTGAAGCTTTGAAGCCAGGCATTGGCTTCTCTTCTCTAGTTACGGAAGTCTTAGATGGCATCTTCTTCCAGTAGAAGGTTGCTTCACTGACACTGAAAATCTGTCGTTCAGCGTAGCTACCTTCACCAGAGCTAGACCCTCTGGATGACTTGCTGCGGCTTCTGCACCAGCCCTCGCTGCTTCCCCTTGCTCTTTTACATTATGAAAACGGCTTCTTTCCTGATACCTTGTGAACCAACCTCTGTTAGCTTCCAACTTTGCTTCTGCAGCTTGTTTGCCTCTCTCAGCCTTCATAAAACTGAAGAGAGTTAGGGCCTTGCTCTGGATTAGGCTTGGCTCAAGGGAACGCTGTGGCTGGTTTCATCTTCTATCCAGACCACTCAGACTTTCTTCATATCAGCAATGAGGCTGTTTCGCTTTCTTATCATGTGTGTGTTCACCGGAGTAGCACCTTTAATGTCCTTCAAGAAGCTTTTCTTTGCATTCTTGGGTAAGTGTTGGGTGCAAGAGGCCTGGATTTCAGCCTGTCTCAGCTTTTGACATGCCTTCCTCACTAGCTTAATCATTTCTAGCTTTTGAGTTAAAGTGTGAGACGTGACTCTTCTTTTCACTTGAACAGTTAGAGGCCATTGTAGGGTTATTAATTGGGCTAATTTCAATATCGTTGTGTTTCAGGTAATAGGGAGGCCTGAGCAGACGGAGAGAGATGGGGAAATGGCCAGTTGGTGGAGCAGTCAGAACACACCCACCTACTGATTAAGTTCGTCATCTTATGTGGGCACAGTTCATGGCGCCCCAAACAATTACAATAGTAACATCACTGATCACAGACCACCATAACATATAATAATTATGAAAAAGTGAAATATTGAGAAAATTACAAAATATGACACAATGAAGTGAGCCCATGCTCTTGGAGAAATGACACCAATAGATTGGCTCCATGCAGAGTTGCCACAAACCTTTAATTTGTAAAAAAAAATGCAATATCTGCAAAGCACAATAAAACGAGGTATGTCTGCGTGAGAAACCCTGGAATGGGTGTGGTGGGGCCAGAACGTGGAGCACCTGAAACACGAACCTGCGGAATTCGACTCGCAGACGGGAGAGCTGCTGAACGTCTCTGAACAGGGGATAACGTGTACGGGGTGGCATCTTAGGAAGAGTCGTATGTCACTTGTGTGGAGGACACGCTAAAGGCTCAAAGTGAGGGGCAAAGACGGTGAGGACATGGGGTCATGGAGGCCTGTTCCTTAGTGGTCACCACGATAATAAAAATGGGGTGGGCCCAGAAACACAATGAGAGAGGATCTGTAGCCTCTGACGAGACACGGGGGCTAGAATTCTAAGGCCTCTGCTTGACCAACACACAGCGACGCCCTCTGAGTGCGTGGCCGTCCGGGCCTGGGTGCTGCTCAGGCTGCTCTGCCTCCTCACCCCACAGGCTGCTCCGTTTTTGTTCTGTTTCTCACCATCTCTGCTTCTTGCCAGCCCGTGTCCCTGCTGAGTTCTGTCTCCGCCTTTGTGGCCTATTATGTGTTCTCGCTTCTCTCTGTTTCCCTTTCTTTCTCTTCCATGACTTTTCTACCCTATCTTTCGGGCTGGAGGAAGAAAGAAGGGTTTTTTTGTTTTTAAATTAAATGCACAGTCAACGTGCTATTCTTTTTACAATTGGCGGCCCAACACTTACCAGCTGGCCTATTTCTGATTCTTCGATGTCAGGTTTTACCACTGTTTAAGTTCGGAAAGATCTTCACTTATTTCTAATTCTGCAGTTGTTGCAGTCATCGCAGGGCTAGGGAAAGGCTGCTATTTACTGATCATCTCAAGATCATCTAATCGCAGTTGCAAGATGAAGCGGGGGAAAGTAGTAACAAAGCACACTTAACTCATCATTTAAAAACTGAGCATGTCCAGACTTCTTGGGAAGAAAAAAGCCAAAGTGGACGAATTTTAAGAAAAATATGCTTCCACTTAGAAGGCGATGACCTTGAAGTAGAGAGACTTTAACAATTCCCTTGGCAAAGATTTTTGGACAGATTTATGAAATTTCTACATCAGTTATATCATAACTAATTAATAGCTATAATCATTACTCATCCTATAAACTGTTGCTCTCACATAAAATAGTTCACTATAGAAATATGGAATACAAGAGGGAAGCAGATAACTTATTCGTCTTCAGAGAAATATTATCTATTTAACATGGTTTCTGGTAAAGAGACCAATCAGTATTTTCTAGGCATTCCTTTTGACTTTTAAAGCAGAGAGATGTTCACTGGCTATATTTCACTGTACAATGGGAATTTTTAAGGGTGAATTTTCAAGAATATTAACTAAAATACAGCCAGTGAGATTTCAATGACAAGAAACTGACAGAAAATTCCACACGAGTCATATGAAAGAACCTGGAGTCCGAATCTCCGCAGAATGGAACGTGGAGATTTTCACACTGGGTTCACTTATCCTTGTGGTCTTCTTTGAGAGTAGCACTGTGGAATGCACAATGAAACATCAACCTATTTTAGAAGGGACCTACGTGACCAAGTTCCCTTACAGAAGAGGAAGCTGACGCCAGGGTGGTTAGGTGACTTGCGAGGTCGGGGCAGAGTGAAAAGCAGCCCCAAAGTCTAGCGATCTTTCCACTATGCGAGGCTGTCATTCTCTGGGAAACATTCCAAAATTGCTTTGTACAATAATAATCAATGACTGTAAATAATTAATGACTTTAGATGATATTAATTCACAAATGCAGATAAACTTTTAGCTTCTACCATGTGTTCCTGTGTATGTACTTTAAGGAGGTACCTTAAAAGTACCTCCTTCTCCCTGACCATGCCTTCCATAATTTAAAGATTATGATTGTGTTTCTTCCTATGCTCCATCTTTTTAGACTGAAAAATCATTATGATCTTCCTTTGCTTTCATATGGCAGCTCCTCAGCTACCTTCTTCCCTTGCCAATACTGCTTCTCTTGATGATTTTAATTGTCCCCCTGGACCCAACCATCTCCATGAAGTTTTTGTGAGGTACGATGCCAATGACCACAGATTCAGGGCTGAATGATTCTGTATAATGAGAGGAGAATGTTTTATATCTATGTCTAATGCCTTACTTGATGGCACCCAACATACCACTCACCTAATGGATGAGGATGGTAACTTGGTTGGACAACCAATAAGTCAGTCCACAGATATTTAATGAGCATCTACTATGTGAGGACATACATTGCACTAGATGCTAAAAACAATAGCAGTGAACAGGAATGACCAAGTCTGGGACCTAAAGAAGATTCTTCCTACTGGGGTAGGAGGAAGACAATAGGTAAATAAGTAGGTAAGTTTACATATTGATAAAAATAATGACTAATATACAATTAGGCAATGAGACAGGGAGTGACTTCAGGGATGAGGGTTAGTGGAAATTGCGTTCAATGACTTCTCAGAAATGTGTACAGTGATTCCCTGGGTTGTGTAGTTTGGATTCATATCCATATATTTTCTCTAATGCTCGATGGGCTGCTACTTTTCTGACTCGTCACACTGCCTGGTGACATTATTTCTCCTTGGGCCTATTACCTTGAGTTTTTATAATCCCGAAGGTTTTATAGAGTAAGGTAATTTGTTATCCTCAAGAAAACACTTATATTCTCATAATGACTCAATCACAATACGTACATGTTGGCCATTCTTTCTGTGGAGCTCAAGGGCTAACTCTGCTATTTTTGGAGATGGTTCTTACACTATCTGTAGCATATGAAGCTTTTAACTAGTGATAGCCTGGAAGGTACGTGCTTGAAGTAAACAGGTGTGATTCTGAACTTTCAGGAAACGCTGTTCTCTCATCCCAGCATGAGCCATCTCCTACTCTGGCAGGTTAGCAGCGAAAGCGATCGTCTGGACACGACCCTGCGACATCACACTTTCTCATGCACAGATACCGCTGGGAAAGGCACACAAGCAGCCTTAGAAACCGAGCTTTGAATGTTTCAGGTTGATACATCTGTTTTCTTTTTTTTATGAATCTCAGTGTTAGGAAAATTTGACATTATTTTGAAGATATATTTCAGGAGAAAAGAATATTTCTTTTCCTTCAGAAAGTCCCCCCAAATTAGCCACATTTCTCTTCCATACCTACTTTTAAAAAAGGATATTTAAACGAAAGCACTGATGTTTACATGGTTTCGTGTGGGCAAAAGCATCCAGAAGACCTCAGGCGGCTCCTGGGCAGGGAGGCGAGGGGAGGCGGGAAGGCCGAGAGCGCAGGGCCCCCACCAGGCCCACCTCGCTCACGCACTGGGAGTCCGCCTGGAATTTCACGTGGGGGGCAAAGAGTTCCTTGAGCTGACAACGTTTTCAAACGCCCAGTGCTGAGAACGCACTACAAACCTGACCCAGCAGCGGGGAGGTCACAGTCTCGGAAAAGAAACGAGAACTCACAGAAACCGTTTTCTAAACACTCTGCCGCAGCCTGAATTCTAGGAAAGGAAGGACCTCTTCAGAGATGCCCAGCCCAGACCCGCTCTCGCAGCACCCAGCACTGTGCAGCTCGCTGCCGCCGCACCTTCGTGGTTTCCAACCTCAGCCGGGACCCGGGTAGCCCGTGACAGTCATTGTCCTGACCCCCCTCTAGTCTCACTTCCTTCTCCTCGAGGGGTTTCTGATTTTGTGGGTGCCACGGCCCCCCAGGCAGTCTGGTGAACTCCATGGACCTCTTCTCAGAACCATGGTTGTTAATACAGAGAATACAAAGCAGGATCACAGAAGCAGCTCATTATATCAAAGTACGTTTCTATCCGTGGGCTCCTTACGGGTCAATGGACTCTAGGTGAAGAAACACCTTTGGAGGATTATCCAGTTTGGGTGCCTGTTACATCTCACTCGAAGGGATTCTCAGTGCTGAATTTCCCACCCCGCCTTCGCTCATGTTCTAGTCCTCCCTTTTGATCGGCCTACGAGGAACTCGCACTTGAGTTTCTTGCAGGAACCCAAAACGCAGCATGCTTCACACCGAGCTCCCTCTTTTCCCACCCACACCTACTTCTGCCCCCTTGTTCCTGCATCAAGCCAACCACATCACAAGCTTCCTAGTCTGGGGCTCTTAGAACCACCTGAGACTCCCGATCTCGCCTAAACCTCCCACCTCTGCCGGAGCCCAGGGCCTCGTCACGCCAGCCCTGTGCTGTCCCTTGAGCCCACCGCCTCCTCTCACTCCCAGCACTGACACTTTCCTGACCCCCCATTTCTCACCTGGACTCCTGCAGTACTCTTCTGACTCCTGGTCTGCCTCCCAACATAAAGAAGTCAGCCCCGTCATTCCAAACCCATCCGTCTTCAAAATCGATACAGAATTCTCCAGCTGCCACTCGCAGCCTTCCGCAGCCTGGCCCCGGCCCTCCTTGCCTGCCCCTGGCCTTCATTAGTCCCCCTTAGCGCTCATAATGCTCATTTCTCTCTGAACACACACGAACTGTGCTCGCCTCTGTCCTTGAGCTCCTCAAGGGACTTGAGCCTCTCTGTTCAATACCCAACTGCTTAAATATACCCCCGATTCATAAGAACCAAACGCTATCTCATTGAAGAAACCTTCTTCAGAATCGCGAGATCAGGGGCTCTTTTCTCAATGTGCTCACGTGTGCTTATGGATGCTTTACATTTGATACTTACTAAAACCATAATTTGCGTGGTAACTATTTAAGGAGATCATTACTCCCTTTCTTAAATTATTTTCTGTGAAGGAAAGAATGATGTCTGATTCATTTTGACAATTGTGCACTGCGTAGCGGCTATGTTTTCTGTTGAACTGCCTGAGGCTGGCTGGCTAGGTGGCTAATTCTCCTAAACTTCGAGCCTGACTTTTTCATCTCAACTACCCGAACCCTGAGTTACTCAATAAATGTTAGATTCTCAAATCCAAACTATCAAATGTCTACATTTCACGTAAACGTGGTGGAAATAACGCTACTTTGAAAGGCTGGACTAATGTTATGACCTCAAAATAGTATATTACCTGTGTCTTCTCCAAAAACTAAGTACCACGGATTCAGGAGCCAACCACTAGGAAGCTGTTCAAACAAGGTGACTAACTGATCTTTCCTAATCGGCTTGTCCTCTTTCCAGAACAAGCACTATTCCGGTGATGGGCACACTTATAGCTGTGACTTAAAAATTACAAAAGCAATCCATATCACAAAAACATTTGTACCCCTTACTATTTTGGGGAAAAAAAAGAGTAGGCACAAGAGTGTAAACAACCAAGTTACCTTTGATTTCAGGATAGTAGAGAAAAGGTTTTGGTTCGCTAGTTTCCAAATCAGATTTCCTTCGAAGCTGAACGAACACAGAGGCTGGTTTTGTAATGTTGACATCTTTATACTTCGGAGTTTTGAAGACAATGGCAAACTGCAAGATACAAAGATCCAAATGTTGATGTAGGACTACATTTTTTTTTTTTTTTTTGCAGCAATGCTACTCATTAAACAAATTCCTTATGCTTTTCTCTATATCCAGTGTACTACAAAACACAGCACCCTGGAGAAAGTTCCAAACTCAGAATTCTATACCCATACATTTTTATTAAATTGTCACTGTGAAACTGAAATACAGCACTATGCTAATGTATTGCAAATATTTATTATTTCATTTGTCTAATATTTCAAATGTCATCTAGTTGTAAATATCATGCATATAAAATTCACTGTTTACATTTCGTTCTTCTCTTCCAAATAAGCCTTAGAGGCCTGCAAGATTATTTATAGTAATGTCAGACAGATTGGGTATGGAAAGCAAGAGATGGCTGAAGGCTAGTGATACAAAGAGGAAATTAAATCTTGCTCAGTGAGGCATTACACCTCCTTAATTCCTGGTGGTGCTAGAATAGTTAGGCATTTTAACAGTTTTAGTTTGATTTTTGGACTATGGAATATATTCACAGGGATAAAGATTTTGTAAAATATTAAAAAGTATATAATGGTATATACATGGATGGTTCTCTCTGCCATCCCGGACCCCCGCTCGTGCAATTCCTGCAGTGTGCCAGCTCCTCAAGGTAAACCCTGTTATTAATTATTCATGTATGTATCCTTCCCGAGTTCCTCTATGCATATGCAAACATGAACAGAGAACCATTTTCATATACACTTTGTTCCATACCTGCCTTTTAAAATATTTTAACATTACATCTTTGAGGTCTTTCTATGTTAGTTTGCAGAGTACTCATTATTTTTAATAACTATACAATATTCTATCAACTAGATATACCATAATTTATTTAACTGACCACTTAATGATGAATATTTGGATTTTTTCCAATTTTTTTGTGAAAATAGTATGCCTCGATCACTCATAAATAGGAGAGAAACCATTAAAGTGGGGGCTCAGCATTGTCATCTCTTAGTCACATAATCAATTGTCACTGGGAAATCTTAATTTATGAGGATGACATCAGCTTCAATTAGAACACTCCTGCTTTCAACACTTAGAATACCCTTTCAACAGGGCTCACCGTAATTGCTTTGGTGGAACACTTAAAACATTTTCACGACAGGACCTTAGGGCCCCCGTCTTATGGGCTAGGGGATCAGACACCAGATGAAATGTCTTGCCAACATCTCAGAGCCAACAGTCTAATGAAATCTTGCCCATAACTTCACAGTGGGCAACTTTCCTGGATGAGCTGCAAGAGTCTTAAAAACAGTACTATTTTATACAGCTAAATAAATAGTTATGATTTTGTCTTTTTCATATATGGAAATTAAGAACTGAATTTCAACAAGGCAGAAAATGTAAAATGATAATGATAATAATCTACTTACTTGTCTATGAACGTCCGTGGGGGAAAAATCTCCAAATCCTTCCCAAACTCCACCATTTTCCTCCTCTTCGTAAAAACGAATCTGGATGTCATCTGCAAACAGTCACATTTCACATAGCGTAACAATATCTATAAACATGCTGGAAAATAAAGCTGGTTCAAGATTCTACCGACTATCTACTTAAACTTTAAAAATATATGAAATAGATGTTAGACTCATTTAGAATCTTCACAAATCACTGATTTTTTTTTTTATTACTTGCCACAGGAATGAGCCCCAAGTTTAACTTACAATGACAGAATACTGGATTTACCTAATCAATCTGAATTTTTTCTTAATCAATCTTTGACCTAACCACTTCTTCATCATTAAAAAAAATATTCAGGCCGGGCGCGGTGGTTCATGCCTATAATCCTAGCACTCTGGGAGGCCGAGGCGGGCAGATTGTTTGAGCCCAGGAGTTCGAAACCAGCCTGAGCAAGAGCGAGACCCCGTCTCTACTAAAAATAGAAAGAAATTAATCAGACAACTAAAAATATATAGAAAATATTAGCCGGGCATGGTGGCGCATGCCTGTAGTCCCAGCTACTCGGGAGGCTGAGGCAGGAGGATCGCTTGAGCCCAGGAGTTTGAGGTTGCTGTGAGCTAGCATGACGCCAAGGCACTCTAGCTGGGGAACACAGTGAGAGTCTGTCTCAAAAAAGAATGAAAAAAAAAATTAAAAAAATTAAAAAAAAAAATTCAATCCTGACAAACATGAAGAATGGTGGAGGCATATTAGAATCCCCAAAGGTGGTTCAGCTCAATATATAGATGTATATAATAACAATTAACTTATATAAGGCATACTATATGGCAGATGCTATTCTAAGTGCTTTATTATATATATCAACTTATTAAATTCTCACAACAACCCTGTGATGTACTATTATTATTCTCATTTTGCAGAAGAGAAACTAGTCCAAAAAGGCTACATAACTTATCCAAAGTTGAACTGCTCGTAAATGAAGGAACCAGGATCTGAACACAAACAGTATAATTTCACCGTCTAGGCTCTTAAACGCTCTACCATATTGCCGCCTTACAGTACTTTATTAGTCCACAATGAGTAACTGGTCAAAATACTATGATGATCAGGTCCCTTCTGATTAAATTAGCATGTGTACATTTCACACTCTAGTCATGGACTCTACTTTTGCAGAAATATGACAACCGAACTCAGTTTGGCATCTCCCTGGCTTCGTTTCCATTTCAGAGGAAGGAGCATACTGATGACTTATGAAACAAAGTTTATATTTCCATTTAAACAGAATTTCAGAAATATTAGGGATGGCTATAAGCACACCCAGCAATCTGGAAATGAGTATTACTTGGATAGAGTGGGTTGGAAGAAAGCCGACACCAGTGTAAGAGAAAGTGTAAACTTTTTTGGATAAAAAATATATATCTTTACTTTAAAACATGCTCCCATTTTTTCTGACTTTATACCTCAGAGCATTTAACCTCAAATGAGAATGTTTTGAATAGCCATACTGCTTTTATTTATTTATTTTACTTATTTTATTTATATTTCCAGCAAGGTATCTGCTTACCTTAAAAACGCTCACTTTGTAATAAATAGATCTTTATTATACTGTACTTTCCTTCTATCATTTTATTTAAAAAATGAGTGAAGTTTGAGAAAATGACACATAATTTCCTCCAGCTTTTACTAATTCATCGGTCTTATATCTAATAAAACATAAATGCCAAGGCCCTTTTCTCAAAGTGAAAACTTTGAGAGAAACGTGCTCTGGGAACTCCCTCGTGTTCCTTTTTCTCTTTCCTTTCCTTTGCTGACACCGCAGTGTCCAGTGGAAGCGCTTGGAGAAGCCCTCCAGTGCTAGAACAAGGCATTGCAAAATAAACAGAATCAACAATTCTACATTACGTAAAACTTATTATTTGTTCTCTCTGTGCATTTGTGTGTCAAGCATGGGCTAATACTCATTTAGTTTAATTGAGTACAGATATCAGATATCAATGTTTAAGGTATAAAAGAAATGAAAATCATGGATTGTAATTATCACTATTTTCTTATTTCTCTTTACTTTTGTAAGAAATTTAGAAATGAATTGGCGGGTTTCAAAAAAATAACACAGACAACTTACATGTGAGAGAGGTAAAATTTAAATGTTTTTAAGACATTCTGTGGCAAAATGGAGACATTTCTGGTCTGCTGCCAAAAATAGGACTCACAAACACACTCTGAATTGTATCTCACGTCTTGAGATCAGAGCACATATTTACCTTTCTGAACTTTGTCACAGAGAAGATAAATTTCTTCCCCTCCAGTTACGCAGCCAGCTGTCCTGTCCATTCTTACAATTTTCAAGTTGGACGCATTGGGAGCTTCTGTTCACAGGGGAAAAACATCAAATAGCCTGGTTTAACCTCAGCTCCACAACTCTGCCCTGAGCGCACGTTACCAAAACAAAGTTTGAAGAGATGCTTCTACTCATAGTACAAGATGAAACAAATAACACAAAGTATAAAGACGCAGATGAAATAAGAATGGCATCCAAAGTTCTCAGAGCACTCCCTAGGCATGGGTCATCCGCTGTCATCGAAACAGATGAGGTAGAAGCAACAGGTATTTGTTTCTCCTCCCACACAGAAAGAGAGACTGATGCAAAAAGAGAAGGAGTTTTTCTGATGTTTCAGGAAGCACCACACCAGTGGATTTCTGGGATTTCAATTAGGTCAAGGACGTCGACCCCAAACCTGTTTTCATGATACTGCTTTATCATTTAAAAAAGTCCTAAAAAATTTAGGAAAAGCACAATTCCCTTATACTAAGCATTAATTTTATTCTAAAGAGAAGAAATATGGAGATGTTACATTTCTTTTTCCCAAACTAAATTAGGATTCAGTGTGGGGAAGAGGCAAGTTTCGTGTGGTAATAGTATAAAGTTTCCTTTTATTTCGCTCTAACCAGCTGCATTTTAAAGTGATCTGTGGTACGTGAGTCTGTATCATCTTATAACATTTTCACTTCCCTTCAAACTTGTTTAAATTAGAGAAATAGTTGTTGTACTTAGAGCATGGATTTTTCTACTTATACCAAATACTGTATAGACTTTCAATGAGCCTAAGTACTGTACTTGCAAGCTTTTTGGAAATATCTGTTTAATAAATCCCATGTACACCAAACAAGAAAGCTGCGTGCTAAGTGCTGAAGATGATTGTAAAACTCGTAAAAAGTTCTGGGAACTATAAACTGAAATAGAAATTTAAAGTCATGTATTATCTATACTACTCATTCAATGAGCCTAAAGTTCCTATCTTGATAAAGCTGGGAACATGCAGGAATGAAAATGGATAAAAATTATACTTGTCTTTTATTAACTTCTCTTCAGAGCCCCAAAGAAAAATATTGAGATACTTTTCCCTTCTAAGAGTACCAATAATGTATCTTTATAGCACTGTGTTCACAAATAATAAGAGATTTGGTATTGCATGTGAAAGACTAGAAAATGCACATCTGAGGAAAGAAGACTACGTTTATTGAGCACCTCTTAAAATATCTCATTTAATCTGGACTTCAACCTCTTGAGCTAGGTTTTAGTATTCACACTTCATAGAGGATAAACCTGAGGCTCAAAGCGATTAAGCTACTTTCCCAGGACTCAGAGCTGGTGAGCAAACGGTGGGGCGGGGCTGCAAGGCTATTCTTGACTTTACACCAAGCTGCCTCCTGCTAGAGTCAAGGACTCACTGCTGTCGTAGATGGCGTCGGACACCACGGGTTCCAGGCGCCTAGTGAAGCTGCCGGTGCTGTCGGGGAGGAAAGCCGTGAACATGAGCCGCACCACGCTGAGGTCCATCTCCTTTGTCTGCTGAAGAGCCGCCTGGCGGATGAGCTCCTTCTCCCGATCTAGGGCCACACGGCACGCGCCATCCATGCCCGGGGAAAGCAGACAGGGAGAGCATTTAAAATAGCATACTTTTATAAGTATAAAAACTTACAATAATAACTCATTTTTTTCTCTTTTGAAATTCTTCATCATGCTAGTAAAATGCTAAATAACAGTCTCACTTACGTCATGCAAAATTAAAGGCATCAAAAGAAGACCCGCCTTTGCTCTGGATTATAGTAAAAACTATCTTCCAGGTATCAGACCTTCCTTCTCCTGTCCTGTCCTCCCCCCACCTCTCCCTTTGCTCTCTACAATAAGAGTTAAAGGCATAAAGGATGTGAATGGGATGTAATAAGTTTAATAAGCACCAGCTGTATTGAGAAATGCAAACATTTTTTTTTATTTCAGCATATTACGGGGGTATAAATGTTTAGGTTACGTGTATTGCCCGTGCCCCACCCGAGTCAGAGCTTCAAGCGTGTCCATCCCCCAGACAGTGTGCGCCACACCCGTTAGGTGTGAATATACCCATCCCTTCCTCCCCCCCCACCTGCCTGACACCCGATGAATGTTACTACTATGTGTGCACTTAAGTGTTGATCAGTGAATACCAATTTGATGGTGAGTACAAGCGGTGCTTGTTTTTCCATTCTTGGGATACTTCACTTAGTAGGATGGGCTCCAGCTCTATCCAGGATGATACGAGAGGTGCTAGATCACCATTGTTTTTTGTGGCTGAGTAGAACTCCATGGTGTACATATACCACATTTTATTAATCCACTCATGGATTGATGGGCACTTGGGTTGTTTCCACATCTTTGCAATTGTGAATTGTGCTGCTGTAAACATTCGAGTACAGATGTCTTTTTTATAGAATGTCTTTTTTTCCTTTGAGTAGATACTCAATAGTGGGATTGCTGGATCAAATGGTAGTTCTACTTTTAGTTCTTTGAGGTATCACCATATTGCTTTCCACAGAGGTTGTACTAGTTTGCAGTCCCACCAGCAGTGTATGAGTGTTCCTATCTCTCCGCATCCACGCCAACATTTATTGTTTTGGGACTTTTTGATAAAGGCCACTGTCACTGGGGATAAGTGATATCCGATTGTGGTTTTGATTTGCATGAGAAATGCAAAAATTAATTATTCCGAAAGCTCGCTGAGCACAGGGACTGCGCTCATTTCAGTGCCAAGCATAGAGCCTGCCACATAGTAGGTGCTCAAAAAGTACTTTTGAAGGAACTGAATGGCTCAATTACGTTTGGCTCCTTCCCTCCTGCTGGAGTTTTCATGCTGATGGCTATAGTCATACTTAATTTATAATACCATAAAAGGCAATAAGTACTTGGTGAGTACTACGAGAGAGCTGCAGATGAAGCAGTATGGAATTTCAAAGGAGGGGGAGTCCGGAGGCTTTGCGGCAGAAGAGGCGTTTGCTCTGTATCTGGAAGGAGCGGTAGAATGCGGGCATATTCGTGTAAGAGAGTGGATAAGGGCTTTCCAGGAAGAGGAGCCAGCAAGAATAGGAAGAACGTGCCCAGGCAGGGAAGGAGGGAATCATGGTGCTCCTACAGAATGATACTTTCACATGGAGGGGCACGGTGGGAGACAGAGTTGGAAATGCAGATTGGGCCAGCTCCGGGAAGATCTAAATAATTAATTTTTACATTGTTCAATACTTTATCTACTCTCTTACATGAGTATGTTCAAATTCTACCCTTCCTTCAAGATACAGAGTGAATGCCTCTCTGCTGCACTGCACTGCGGTGAGCTGGGGGAGGCATAACAGAGGAGGCGTTCTTTAGACTGTGTCTCGAACTATGCACTGGTTTCCACAGGTTGAAAAGGGAAGGGGGAGCGTTTTGGGTAGAGGAGGACACACACAGAGGCACGAATCTGCATCAGGTGAGCCATGATGGCGAGAGGTGGCGCAGGGTGGGCTGGAGGAGGCTGGAAAGGTGCTGGAGCTGACGGGGGGGCTTTGTACACCAGCCCGTGGAGGTACAGGTGTTATCGTGGGCGCGGCAGGAAGCCATCAAAGGTTTCTGCGCAGGAACAGGGTGGCAGTGGCCTGGGCCGCAGACTAGGGGGCACACAGATGAACACAGCGTGCACACGAGAAAACCAAAGCCCGGGCTTCTCGGAGGAGCAAGGCGGCGAGAGTGGTGCTCACCTGTGAGCTGGCGGTCCCCTCCACCTTCCGCTTGCAAATAGGCAAGGTCAGGATGCACCAAGAGTCCGGGATTATAGCCCCTTATACACGCGTCTGTCATTCGTGCTTCCAGTGTTTCAAATACTTTTTTCTTTGTCACGTGAAGTATACCCAGGTTTGCGAAGCTGGAGAAAAAGCAGTAACAGCAGCAACAGCAACAACCGAAAGTTAGGCAGTCAATGGAGAGTCGGACTTCGCTTCAGCAAAGTGGATTTTAAAAAAACACATAGGTCCTCAATGTCTCATCCAAATCCCTTGGGGCTAGATGCATTTCAGAATTCAAGGTTTTTTTTTTTTTGATGTTAGAAAGGTAATATATAGCATATACTGCACACTGAATAATACTCTCAGCAGGTCTGGGGTACACAAATACCCTAATGTTTCTGTAGTGAAACATATAACTAGCCTCATCAAATGGAAAAATAAAGACAATAAACAGCTGCGCATCCAGTCAGTTTGCGTTTACTACCAAATGACTCTGTAATAAACCTTGAAGAAACTTTTGGTTTTCAAAGCTCATTAGATTTCCAAATTGTGATTAAGACAGTGGAGATATATATATAAAAGATGTGTGTGTGTGTCTGTGTGTGTGTATCTTAATAAAAAGTTTTACCCGGACTCATTTTAAAGTGTTTTCTATGGAATTTGTATAAAAAATTAAAAATTCCAAATATAGTATTAACTTTTTATTTTTTTTTAAGAATAAGAGGAATGTTATGTTTGGGAGGATTTTTTTTTTCTTTTGAATCATGCTTGGGTTTCTGAATGGGATTTACAGTCTACCTGGAATCCCCCCTCCTCCTGGGTTATCTACAAGGTTGTGGGAATTATTCGTGACCATTAGAATTGTCATCTAAGCAGACATGTAATTAGAGATGGGGAACCCTTTATTGGGACGGCTACATACGTGTACAATAAAATATGTTAATATGCTAAATAGAGCGATTGAAGGGATTTTAAGAAAATATAGAAAATGCTCCAGCCATTCATTTTTTAAAGTATTTAAACGAAGTATTGGAACAAAGACGTGTATTCAGTAAATACACTACAACAAACGAAGGAGGACTTTACCAAGCAGACTCACTCATTCAAGAAACATTTATGCAGATTCTTATCAGTGCCCGCAGTACCCTGGTGCTTCCGTCAGCAGTAAAAGAATCTCTGCCTTCATAGAATTTATACGCTAGTATGACAACAAAGAGGAAAAAAGAAAGCAGCAAATGATACAATATAATCTAGAAGGTAATAATTATAATCAAGACAGATAAGGTAGGAATGGGGAACAGGAGCAGCAGCAGGAAAAGGCGTAGCACTTGAAAACAGGGAGAGGTCAGGAAGGACCCTCAGTGAAAAGGCGACTCCTGAGCAAGGACTTGGAAGAGGTGAGGGAGGAAACATGGATATGTGAGTGAAGAACATTCGTGGCAGAAGGAACCGCAAGTGCAAAGGCCCTGAGGTAGGGCCATGCTGGTGTTTTCCAAAGACAACAATGGCAAGAGGTCAATGTGGCTGGAGTGAAATGAGCAAGGGATCAGTGACAAGCAGAGTTCAAAGAGTGAGCAGCGGGCCCAGATCTTTTAATGCCTTGTAAGCACCTTGTAAGCTTTTATAAGGACTTTTCTTTTACTCAGAAAGGAAAAAAGAACGATTAGTAGAGGAAAGAAAGCGATATTATAGCAACAAGCCTGAATGAAATCAGGAACAGGCTAATGTGGAAAGGTCAGATAAACAAGGGAAAGAAAACAGAGGAGGTAAAGGCAGAATGAAATAAAAACTCACACGGAGGCCGGAGACAGAATGAGTCACATCTACAGACAGAGACTGGAAAGACGTGGACGGCTGAGACACACACAGAGGAAAACATGCCGCCAGAACATGAGCTCTTTGAGGGCAGAGCTTTCTAGGGCCTAAATGGTGCCCAACATATGGGGGTTTAATAAATGCCTGTTGAGTAAATGCATGAATTAGTACAGCGCAGAAAAATACGTAACGCGACACACCGGCACGCATGGGGGTGCAGGGGTTTTGCAGAAACAACGCCCCCATCCTCTGGCCGTTCAGGCCTCTCTCCTGCACAGAACGCCCACGACTGCAGGGAAACGGGGCTCTCTCCTAGGTGGTGGCAATGACAGACACCTGTGCGGCACTCTACACTTTACCATCTCTGACATGTTTTCATGTATATTATCTAATTTAGTCCCTGTGAGAAAGACATCGCCCTCATTAATTTATTATATGAATAACGACTTATTCTGGTAATAAATGAAACAATGCAGAAGTCAGTTTTCTGTGTCAGGTAATGATGGAGTAACGTAGACTGGGTTGAACCTTAAAGAACTAAAAATCATAAGAAAAAATAGTGTTCAGACGCTAGACAATGGGCAGCACAAAATAGCAATCCTTAGGAAAAGGGAAATAAATAAGGATCCTCCAATTACTCTGGCTTACTGCCTAGAGAGAGTTCTAGGGTGCAGCCCAGGAAGGGAGACCCCAACAGAGCCCAGCAATCTCCCTGAGGCTACGGAGACACAGTGGGACATTTGAGGAGGCAAAGGAGGTGAGAACCAGAGAGGAAAGAACTGCATGCAGAGAGGCACTTAGAGATTCACTCGCGTCTTCGGCTGAATAATCAGAGCACATAGTAAGGAACTGCCCAAAGTTGGGGAAAGAACCACCATAAAGGGACAGGCAACAATTCCTGTAGCACACACATGGCTGGAACAGTTCAAGAAACCTCACACCACCTGCAGCAGTGGGGTGAATATTCAGAAAGGTACCACCTTAGTAATGATGTCAAATCTACCCTAGAGTAAAGGCTTCTCTGGTCTCCCTAACAAAGCTTCAAAGTAAGACTAGAAAGGATCAAACTGTTCCCAAATTTAACTTTATCCCAATCCTCAAAAATACTTAAAGGCAAAAAAAAAAAAAAATCCAGCACTCACCAATACAAAATTCAAAATGTCTGTCATCCAATAAAAAATTACCAGGCATGGGAAGAATTAGAAAAACATAATTCATAATTAGGGTAAAAAATCAATAGAAACAGATCCAGAAGACAGAATTTGTAGACAAGTACATTGAAGTAAGATATATTCCATATGATCAAAAAGATAGAAAGCATTAGTATGTTAAGGAGAAACATGGCAGACATAAAAAATGACCCCAAGCAAAACTGTAGAGATGAAAACCCCAAAGTCTGAGAAGAAAAAATACACTAATAGAATTAAGAACATTAGACACTACAGACAAAAACAGTAGTGAACTTGATATAGTAATAAAACTATCTAAAGGGAAACAGAGAAAAAAGATGAAAAAAGAACAGATCATCAGTGAGCTACGGGACAATTTCAAATGGCCAAACATACTCGTAACTGGGGTTCCAGAAGAAGAGAAAAATAGGAATGCACAGAAAAAATATTTGAAAAATAACAGCTGAAACCATAAATCTAGAGATCTGAGAATCTCAATGAACCCCAACCACAAGCAACATGAAGAAAACCATACTAACGTCGACCATCACCAAATTGCTTAAAACTAACGACGAAGAGAAAATCTGCAAAGCTGTGAGAGGAAACAGAAAGCTGCCTGTGTCCCAGGAACAAGGACAAGGTTAACAGGAGACTTCTCGCTGGAAACAGAGTGAGCTCAAGGACAGGGGAGCCACCTATTCTGAGGACATGAAAGAATAATATTGTCAACCTACAAGTCTACGCTCTTCGAAATTATCTGTGAAAAACAAAGATAAAATAAAGACATTCAAAACATATAGTATCTGAAAGAATTCACCAGCATCAGACCAGCAGTACGAGAAAAGTTAAAGGAAGTGCTTCAGGCAGAAGAAAATGGCACCGGTTAGAAATCTTGACCCAGAAAACGAAATGAAAAGCACTGCAAATGGTAAATATGTGGGCGAATATAAAATATCTATAAAATACTTTTTTTCTTTAAAAGATAATTGACTAAAGCAAAAATAGAAAATACTATATTATGGGATTTATGACATATGTAGATATAAAACATACGACACGATAGCACGCAGTGCGGGGACGAGAGCACGTTGCTCCAAGACTCACGTACTACTCATGAAGAGGCATGATGTTCCCTAAAGGTGGACTATAGTAATCAAAGCTGTGCAGTATATATCGTAAAACAGCTGCTAAAATATACGAAGAGGCATAAAACAAAAAGGAGATAAAATGACATCAATCAAATAATCAATTAATCCATAAGAAGGAAGAAAAAGAGAAAAGGAGGAACAAAGAACAGATGTGACAAGTAGAAAAAAGACAGCAAGATGGTAGACTGAAACACAGCCACAACAATAATCATATTAAATATAAACGGCCTAAACATCCCAATTAAGTCAGAGGGCAAGACCCAATTATTTCATATATGCAGCATATATTTACTCTGAATATAAAGATAACACAGTGCCACTTCGTAAATGTCCTTCGACAAGTGAACAAATAAACAAACCAACACATCAACAGAATGCAACCCCACACAGAGGCTAAAAGGAATGAACGGACGCATAGACGAGGAGGAATCTCCACTGCCCTGCGGCACGCGACAGACAGACTCGGAAAGGCCACAGGTTGTAAGACTCCAGTTGGATGTCGTTCTGGGAAAGGCAAAACCGCGGGGACAGAACCCAGCTCGGCAGCTGCCAGGACCCCGCAGCGGGCGGGGAGAGCTCACTCGAGGGGCGCACGGGGATTTGGAGGCTCGGGAACAATTCTGTATCTTCATCGTGGTGGGAACGTGAGTATTTGTCAAAACTCACACAACTGCATACTTTAAAGGGCTAATTTTTAATAGTATTTAAATTATACTTCAATAAACAATAAAAATTCTACAAAAGAAAGGTTATCACAGCCAATAATGGGGCTGGGAGTACCTCGAAATGCTCTATTCTTCTACACAAGTGGTTTCAAAACCAGCAGCATCAGCATTACATTAAAATATGAATTTTGCCCCCCCGCCCATGAATCAGAAACTCTGGGGGTGGGGCTCAGCAATCCACGTTTTAAGAAGCCCTGCAGGTGATTCCGACACCCCTAAAGCTGGAGAGCGGCTGCGCCACACTGCTCTCTCCAGGGAGACCAGCATCTCTGGGAGCTGAGCCAGAGCCCCACCAGTGTGTCATGAAGCGACCCAGGGTGCCAGCAGCCCGGGCCAAAGCCCTCTGCACTGTGCCAGGTGTTCCCAGCACACACTCCTCTGGGACCTGCTGCTGTCCTCTGGCTGCTGCGTTTGAATCCCCATTGGGCTGGGATTCAAAAGTAGCCCCTCTGTCTGGCCCTTCTTCCTCTCAGGGCTCAATCATTGACTTCACAGGATTTAAAAGCGACCTCTGACTCACAGCACACACTCTAATTTGGAAGTTGGGTATTTCCAGCCTCAGATCACACTTCATCGATTTTCCCCAATCAGCTCCTTTTCTGTGTATTAAGGTTCAACTGTATGAAACCACCAATAACTAATTGTTTTTGGACCTATAAAAACAGCAATATAATATGGTCTGCATTAGCTCATTGAGGGAGGCTTTGTTTCTCCTTTGTACTTTTATATTTATATATCTATCCCTAGTGCTTACCAGTTGGTATGTACTACATATTTTAGTTGGGAAAGAAAAAAAGACTGCATATCTCTCTAAATCAGGGTTGCCAGGAAGCAAACAGAGGGTGTGGTGATCATTGGTGAGGAAAGTGGCCTAAAGCAAAGTCAAGCAATATAGATATTTTCCACTCAATGAAGATTTCAAAGAACTAAAATGTTGAAACAAATTATTGATATTCAGTATCTAAAATAAAATACCAAACTAAGATTATTTTTTGTCAAGAAAGGTAGTAAACACTAACTATATAGATGAATAAGAAATTAAAAAGACAAAATTAAAGCTAACTTTAAAAAACATTAAAAAGACAAATCTCCCAAATTAAAGCAGTCAAGCCTGTAACCAAGGCTTGGTTATTTAAAATGTGACTATTTATAATAGAGATAAAATACTTTTGAAAATAGAAACTAAGTTTATTGAGAATTCATGCTCACAGAAAGGTGAAGGGAAACACTTCAAAGAAAAGTTTCTTCTTTTTTGTTTTGATGATTCAAAAATTATTTATCTTCTCAGCGTCATTTTTTACATATCTTTTTTGATATGATGGATCAGTTCCCTTATATTCTTAGCCTAATCTGTATTATTGAAAACAGCTTATCTTGGTTCCATTTCTAGTATTGACAAGTCTAAGGAATAACGTTGGCTATTTTCCTAAATTTCTCTATGTGATATTCTCGCCTACAAGTCAGAACTAAATAATAATCGATGTCATACCATAAACACGTATGTGGCAAGTTTGCTCATGTTATTTCATAATATTAGCTAATGTTAGTTCAGTCTAGAATTTTGGAGATGTAAAGGGCCTGAAGAAGGACTCTGCAGCCCAACCCTCTCATTTTATAAGGGAAGAAATGAAGGTCCCCAAAAAGTCATGTAACTCGCCCCCAGTCCTATTGTTGAGAGCGCCGGAATTGGAAACAGAATTCTGGTTTCCGGACTGCTAGCATGATGTTCTTTCTACAAAAATGTAATAGGTTTTGATATTGGAAACTTAAAAAATAAAGAGATACAGAGAGACAAATGAATTATGAAGGTAACAGTGTATTTTGAAAACACTGTAAGCAAAAATTTCTCAGCTAAAAATCAGAAAGGGAGTACCAACGTTTCACAGAACAATCTGAACAAGAAAGATTAGAATCTATCGTAACTCTCAAGTGGCATCTTCTTGATTAAATTTCCCAGTGAAATTGTGTAAGTATAGAAAATCTCACAGCGCTACAACCAAACAGACATCATAATGATCAAACTTAGGAGTTGATGTGCTCAAAATGTTTGTTGAATGAATGAATGAATGGTGAGTTCTCCCAACTACTGAACCCCACATCCCACTGCACTACAAGACAGGAAAGGAATCTCTCACTTCCTTGGAGACAGAGAATTTACTTCTACTCCTGGGTCTAGGTCCCAGATTAAATAACCATTAGTCCTTTCTAAAATCCTGAAAGATTACTAAACCGAACCACAGAAATCAAATTACAGATAACATATTGGAAGTTTTACAATAACAAATATTGTTAGTTAAAAACTTCACCTATAATTTCTTCTAAAGGGTATGATTATCACACCGATTAAATAAGACCAAAGAAAATAAACACTTCAAACTCACAGGAGCCTGTTGAAGAAAATCTGCAGAAACGCTAAGTGATCAATTAGTCTAAAACTGTGAAAATTGCCCTGCATTTCAGAGCTCTCATAGGTCAACCAAGAACTGGAAGGGTATTCCAAAATGCATGACAAACCAACCGTGACATACAACAGGAAACAGGCCAATCTTTCAAGAGGATGTTGAAACAACCTCACATAAAGCACAATCAAACTTTTCAAATCAATTTAAGCTTCTTCCTTCAATCTAGAGTTTTTTTTTTTTGAACATCAAAAGAATCAGATTTTAGTGACATAAAGCCCTCTCTCTAGGTTTTTCACACTTAAATATTTTTACAGTCAAACAAAGAAATAACTAGGAACATGAAAGCTCAATCTCTCCAATAACAACTAACTTGAAACTTGATCAGAATTCAAAGCCCAAAATGCAGCCATCAGCTTAATTATAGTTGATTTATACAATTCCTTCTTTTGAGTGAACAGCCCAGATTAACTGAGATTTTAGCACAACCTATTTAAAGCAGGATCAGAAAGCCCTGAAAAATATTTTTAAAAATCAAACAAAATTAATTAAAAATGTCTTACTTCTTCTGTTTTTAAGGTATCCCAAAGTAAGACTGAAAACAATCATTTTTAGGATTATTAATTACATGTATCCGTTTACATTGTGTGCTAAATTACTATGCTGTGTGCTGTTTTAGTGTTTTGGGAAAATAACAAACACAATTTGTTCTTTAGCATAATAAATGTCTTGTTGAAAACGATTCTTAATTTTTTGGATTCAAGTTATTTCTATGAAACTTCGTTCATTAAAAATTGCTTGTTATATCTGACCAATCTTTAAATGAATTTGTCACTTTGTATTTACATTTCAAGTCTAATGAATACCAACACAAATTTGCATTCCTTGGCTTCTTTTCTGTGCACACTCTCTAACAGCACAAAGCTGAAGCAATATTTATTTATCCACTTCATGCCCCAAATGTTCACACTATAAATCCATTAAAGGAATCATCAAGAATGTAAGTCCATCCATATGGTGTTGATTTCTGCTATAGTTAGCTGGCTTCTAATTTGTCCTTATCTATATTTCTAGAAGAAGTAAAATATTATCGACAGTGGCACAAATGCTTCCTAGGTCAAGTGACCATACATAAGTGATCATCCAAACTGGGCCACTTTTGAGGGTGGAATAGGGTCTTATAAATAGCCCAGCTGCAAACTGGGCTGTTTCAGGCAAATTCAGACATGTGGTCACTTTACTCCCTGGAGTCCAAGTAGGAACACAAGTTTTCATGGTTTTCTTTTTTTTTTTTTTTTGAGGCCAGATGAGGGTCTCAGAAAGGTCCCTAATGACAAGAGCTTTGTCATTCCAAGTCCCTGCATCCCATGTTCTGTCTGTCCTACCTTCCACAGCGTCACGCACCCTCACTTACCCGATCACCATGTCCTTGGGTCCCGCATTTACGGTGCAGATCCCGTCCTCACAGTGCTTTCCCACCAGGCTGTGGGCGTGCAGGTGGATATTTTTTCCATTTGTGACCAACTGAACAATGACCTTTGCTGGTCCCATATAGTTGCAGATCTATATAAGAAGCACATTTCGAAAGTTAGCACATCCGACTATATATTAATAGCAACAATGAAAAATGTTTATGGTAAGCCAGTAAGTATAAAAAGTATGATCTAAAATTATCCATATATATGTATATATATATATATATGATCACAGCAATGTTTTTTAAAGTATGTGATGAATCAATGACAGGATGGAAATAAATGAAATTGCTAATGGTGGTGGTTTCCTGTCATGGGAAGAGACACTCCGGGAAGCAGGCCACTGAAAACGCGGTACGCGTTGTTAAAGCTGGAATAGCACGTCCTGGAGGACGCGTTGCCATGAAACCTCCCCTTTCTGCTAGCCAGGAACATGTTTTCCTCTGCACGATTTCTGGATAAACGATTGGTGAGAAGGGAACTGGTGATCGAGGGACATCACGGGAAGGAGGGAGACGAACAGCAACGGCACATCCTGACTCTGCCGTGGGATCAGGCAGAGGACAGAGTCTTGTCCAGGGACCTGGCTCTGAACTTTGGCTGTGGACACTCGAATCACTTGTAGGATATGTGACCCTATAGTAGCCCTCTCTGCCAAGAGTGCTAATAATTGAATTACATATGTTCAGGTCACAGTAAGTTTCTTAAATCCAAAAAGTGCACTTCCTAAGTGCAAATCTTTAGATTTCACCAGTTATAAAATCAGGTTTTTCCATTTGAGGTAATTTATCTTTTTTATTGGTATATCTTTAAAATGATGACAACAGCAATAAAAAGGAAATATCATGGAGAAAATGACATTTTAAGCAAAGGGAACTTGGACACTCTTTCTTCTCTAGTTGGTCATCTAGCCCCCTGTAGCAGACCAAATTCTTTCCTCGAGAAATCCCTAAGACTAAAACCGCACTAACAGAAAAGACCAATGGCCTTATATTAACCCTCCCGAATCCTATTAAGTCAGAACCCTGTGATAAATTCAGCCAAATAGTTGGAAATGCACTGTATCTCCTCGAAAAGTGACTAACCGTCCTGGTTTGCCCGGGACTGAGGGGTGTTTTTGGACACAGGACTTTCAGAGCCAAATCTAGATGAGTTGGTCACCCTATCTCATCAGCTCATATTGTACTTTTTGAGGAAATGCATGACCTAAATCCAGGATCTCCCAACTATATGATCATTAGAAATGCATAAATCTGCACAAGTAGCCCACAGCTCAAAAAAAAAAAAAAAAAAAAAGGACAGTATTTGGGAATCACACCCACAGATGGCACTTTGATGGAAGTCTTTCTGATAGGAACTTGAGGAGGAACCTTAACCTGCCAATAAAACTTCTTGGAAACAGACATGATCCTTTTAAACCAGACTTCTATTATAAACATCATCACTGAAGCAAAGCTTTGATAGAACTTTCTTACTATGGATTTTTTCCCAGTGCGATCTTTCATTGCAAGAGTCGAGAAGCTGATCAACTTGGCATCATTCCCCAGAGGGTTTGAGGAGAGAGAAGTTTCACCCCTGAACAAAGGACTGACTCCCCTCCAATCAACTGTGCAGCTCAGCTGGGAACCTTAGGGCCTGTCTGCCTACACCTTGGCTCAGAGAGGCTGCAAAGGGTTACTTCCGAACCCTCTGACCCGCTTTCCCTTCCCAAGGAGCAAGGCCACCAGCAGGAGTGGCCTCCAGTCCTTGCAGAGCACGCTAATCACAAAGACGGTTTAGGATTAAATTTGATTTTTGACTACCTCAAATCATAAATAAAGAATTACTTAAACAGGTGTAGCACTTTAAAAAAACTTCTCTAGATCTAAAGCTAATTATGAACTTGGTGTTTTCCCTTTTACAACAGGCAGAAAGCCTTTGCCCTTGAGTACAGGTCGGGGAGTAAAGAGTTCTGGGTTTGCTCCAAAGTTGGCTGCTGTCCCTGGATACTCCCCGGGTTGCTGATGCCAGTTCTGTGTCTTGGTGTCGACACCCGAAATCACTCTTTGTTATGATGACATATCCCACAGGGGCTTCCTCGGCAATGAATGAACAGCGAAAGAGCACTGAATAAACCACGTGATTACACTTTTAAGTGCCAATGAGCACAGGAATGCAACAGGTAAGGCACGAGGCGAAATGAGGCAGGCTTTCCACGTACGCAGGACACCAGAAGGAATCCTGTGACTAAAGCCCAATCCCTGCAACATTTCAACCCTTCAGTGTCGCCACCAAGAGGGCGTTAGTCACTGGCGCCGAAGGGAAGAGGTGGGAGGTGTCCCCAGAAAGCATTCACGTATTTTTCATACTATTATTTCATGATCGAAGGCTGGCAAGAATGAGGAACCGGGTATTCTCTGAGGCAAAGGAGCTAAGAAATTTGCCAGTGACTAATGTGTCGTTTGCTCCGTTTGAAGGAGTCCGAGTCAGCATGGCATCATCTGGTTTTTACAGAGACCACAGGGCAAAAGGCAGGGAGGCCCCTGGGTTTTGTGGACTTTCCAAAATACCGAAAGAAGAAAGCTGCTGTGTGGGAACTGAAAAAAGTGACGCTATTTGTAAGTTACGCGGCACACGAAGACACTGGCACTCTGGCATGGAGGAGACCACGCTGCATAAAACGCCATGATGACCCAGAACCATTCGCAATCAATTCAGAAATTCATTTGTTCTATGGAGAATTTAATTCTTTTATTCGGCTTCCCTTTTACTTCTTTGAATAGCGGTTCCCCTGAAAATTAAGTTTATAGTGAGCAACTGTATCTGTCAGAAAGGTTTTTCTCAAAAAGTCTGAACATGGCAGGCTCTTAACAAACATTAATGGCTAAAACACAATGAAGCTTTTGATTAGAGTCAAGGAAACAAAAGTGACAAAACTGAGTAACTGGCTACCCAGGGACACTGTAAGAGCAAACCCAGCTAGGGTTTGAAGACAGTTCCATTTACTAGCTGTGTGACTTTGGCAGTGCTCAGTTTTCCTCATCTGTAAAATGGGGATAATAATAGTATCTCAAAGGGTAATTGTCCAGACTAAATACATTATGCAAGTAAATGTATTTAGAACGGTGTCTGGCAAATAATGTCAGTATACAAGCATTAACTATTATCTTATTTATTATGGTAACATGCTCTTCTACCTAGAGATCTATAAACAATACACCTGTCCTGAGATTATTTTTTAAAAATCTTGTCTAAAAGCAGATGGCTGGAGTAAGTGACTGATTCAGGCTTCTTCTATTCCTGGGCTAAGTCTTTTTTCCAGAGTGCCATATTTTACTGGTCTTCGTTAATTTTCTAGCAATAATTCTGCTATTATAGTAACAGCTATTGTTCTTGAGGATACTCAGGGTTTCTTGCCTTCCTTGATGAAATTTAAGACTTTCTTCCGGGAACTTTATGACTCAACCCCTTCTGCTGATCAAAGGCCAGATGTGCTTTGTGAATAAGACGTAGAAGGTAAGGGTCTCGAATAATACCAAACTTAGTCAAATCGCCTCCCTTTATTCAAAACGAGTCTGTCACGCTTTGGCAAAGTGCATGCTGGGTCTTCAAAGGTGGCCAAAAGAAGCCGTCTAGGATTTTCTAGGAATTAGCACTTCAGATGTCCAGTTTGCTCTCTGGGTAAATTTGGCCAAATCACTTTGGCGGGACGTAGAGTCAACCCGAACGTGAGCTGTGACACATGAAGCAGCTCTTTTCTGCTCCGCTTTTCTTGTGAAGTGATGATGATAATGACAATAATAACGAAGAGGAGGGGAAAAATCCACAATTTTCAAACAAATCCATCCTGACTTGCCGTAGGCACTTGACTTTGTCCCGTACTGCGGTAAAGCAGCAGAACAACGTGGGTGGGTCCAGGAGCCCCGAAGCCAGACTGCCAGGCTCCGGGGCCCTGCTGCCCCTTAGCTGTGTCAACAGGGAGACGGATTTTAGTTTCTCCATCTTCAAAATTAAAGGAATAATACGCTTGATTTCATAGGGTTGTTTTTAGGATTAAATGAGATGATACAGTGCTTGGCACCGAATGGGATTAGCAATCTCAAATGTAAATCTTCTCTCCCACTGAGTCTATTACCTCACTGATAACCAAAATTTATCCACTCGTTGAATGAGTACTTATGAAGCCCTTTCTACGTTCCATGCGCTGCAGTAAGCCAGGGAGGGAGGCAATCGTGGTGGAGTGCAGAACAGACACAACCCTTGCTCTTAGGGGGATTCAAGAGTGGGACTGACACTAATCAAATAATCTCACGAATAAACGCAGAAGCGTAACTGGGAAGAGCTTACAAAGGAGATATATAGTAGAGATTTGACCTGGGCAGGAAGTCAGAGCCTGAGAGAGTAATGAGAGCCGAGATCTGAAAGAAGAGCAAAGAGGGCTAGGTCGGCCTGAGCTGGAGAGAATGTTCCCGGCAGGGGGAACAGCACGTGCGAAGGCTCTGCAGCGAGAGAACTGCTCAAGACCTCCTCAAACCGCTGATCACCCCTTCTCAGGATGTCCTTCAAGTGGTTTCCCAGCCCACCCTACCCCCACCCCTGGGTTGCCCCTTCTCTTCCCTATAGAGAACCACCCGTTCTTCAAGGGGAAGACCTGCATCGGAATCTCCCGTGACACTCTCCTCACCGCTTAAGCCCACAAAGGTCCACTACTGCCCCTTCTTTCTGGAATGTGACTGGAGGCGACAATGCAGGAAAACCACGTGCAATCTATTGCAATAAGAAGATGGTAAAACCTGCTGGCGAATAAAGGGTTACTGCCGTACTTCTCTTCCTTGCTAGTGACTGTGTCTCATGGAAGGGAAGGGGGCATGCCAACCCCGCCAGCCCCCATGCAGCCCCGTGGGGTCGGTGGCGGTGCCCACTCCACAGTGAAGGAACTAACGCTCAGTAAGGTAAAGGACGTTGGCGCGGTTCCTATAAAGGTAGCGATCGGCCAATTCTTTGAACTCGGGTCTGTCCCCTCCAAAGTCCATTCACATTTTCCAGGACGCTGTGCCACTACTTGGCTTGATCACGTTTTCTTTTGTACGTTTCCAACAGCCTCAGTGT